GTGTACATCAAAGAAACACTGAAAAAGATTGCAATATACACAAGTTTTAGGTTTGCCCCCCTAACACCGCAAACTTTCAAATAGTTTTGTATGGATAAAAATAGTCAAAATAAGAGAATGCTCGTCAGAAAGAGTTAATTAAACACACAATGTCCTACCTGTTTGTGCATTTGTTCCCTTCTTAGATTTGACGAGAGCTTGACTTGTTGGTAGAAGAACACCATCGCGAGAGACATTCAACTTTACGTCTGTACCAGAATGCACAAGAACTTTTCTGAATGATGGCTTTACAAGCAACCCATAAACAAGAAAAACTTGCCCAGAGGCTGGCTTCTGGATGCCTTGTAATTTTGCCGCATATATTGCTGGCAGAGTTCCTCTGTAATTTCTGGAGGGCATGTCTTCTAAAGATAATGATATTTTTGTGGCTTTTGCATTACGCAGTTCTTCAATACTATTACCAAACCATAAATAACAAATGCCAACTTCTGAAATGGCCAAAACACATATGCCAGGCATGTCATCCCCCACAATATCAATGCACCTGCTATCAAGAAAGACAGCCGGATGCTCCATCGCAAGAACACAACTAGCTGACTGCTTTTTAGGACCATCTATCCTCCAAACAGCAACATATCTTTCACCAACTGCGGACGAGAGGATATACTTGCCATCTTCAGTGAAAACCATGCATCGAACAGAACCCTGTTAACAAACAATAAAATAATAACACATACAACTTTAAAAGACGGGCTTGCTTATTCTTAGGGCATATTACTAGAGCGTTGATAGAGTATATGCATGTATATAGGGAAATACATATGAGACTCACAGGATGACCAGAGAACTTTTGAATCTTTTTGTGATTAGAGCAGTTAAAAATCTTCAATTGTGCAGCTGCAGTAGCTAATGTCTTCCCATCTGATTTAAGTAAAGAAGCAATTACCAAAATCAGTAATAAAAATAGTAGTATCAATACCCCTACAGATTGAATATCCATCAAAACCATGATTAACTGAAGTCCTTCTGGCTCACTCAAGCTCATGAATTATTGATAATGATATAGCTCATGCTAATTTTAAAAGTAATTAAACAGTAGATGGTCAACCTAACTAAATTTGGATCATCGACCTTACAATTATATTTGAGCTTTCTATTAGCAACTTTATGGTCAAATAAAACGCACTGGACTGTAGAAGTTTAAAGAATCCCACGGAAAACTCAATTAAATTATACCACTCACCACGTACAGTGTCTAATTCTGATTAACTCAGCTAGACAGCAAAAAATTAGCTTCAGTTGGTCCTACCAAAAAAACCAAGATTTCTACAAAAAGCGATGAAGAATAAATACCTGGAGAAACACACATGCAGGACACCGCCTTGGTAGAAGCCTTAAATTTCTCCAACAGGTTTCCTGTCATAAAATCTATCGCACATACCATCCCATCTGCACCAGCTGTATAAATGCTTGACACGTTTGCTGAAGATGCAATGGCTCTCACACCTCTGCAGTTGAGTTGAACAAAATAAGAAAGAGAAATTAGGAACTAAAACCCATAAAATCCTGGAATTCACATTTCTGGGAGACATCATTTCCAACTATCACGGAGTTACAAATTTTAAAATATAAAGAGCATTAGGTCAACCCATCCATTCAAATACGGTAATAATTATAAATTGAACATAACATAGATGCAGCTCTTTCTGGTGTCGTTCTCCAGTCAAAAATTAGAATGCTACCTTCATAATTTGCTCGGTTAATGTCAATCTTAAAAGTCAATTTCCAAGGAGTAACTTCAATTTGAATCGGATATTTAAAACAACTAAGCTATGATATCTAAATTCATTAAAGCTGAGAAAAAAAATGTTATAACTTACCCGGGATGACAGTCAGTAATTCTCCAACTTAAATGACCAGCATCAACATCAAGTGCTAGAACATCACCACTACCAGTTCCAAGTACTAACAACGAGGATGCATGCTTCCGTTTCCTCTGCAATAATTAAAATGTGGGGTATGCATACATACATATCATTATAAAATAAATATTACATATATAAAATTATAAAAGAAATTATACATACATGCATGCTTTCATACACATACATACACAAATATATACATACACGCACGTATAATTGCAAAAAGAAAGTAAGGAACCTTTCTTTCGAAGGAGAACCACTTGATGCAGGTATAATCTAGTGCAAGATGGCCGTTAATGGATTTGTTCTGTGGCGTAGTTGTTGAATGAGTTGATGCAATATCTGCGAACTCGGTCTGGACCTGGCCACTCAGCGTGTCCCATATCTATGCATAGAAATTGTTGAGATGTGTGAACAAGTTAACTAACAGTTGAAGAAGTAAAAGGATTAGAAGAAAGACAGAGAGAGAAAACCTTGACGCGACCGTCTCCGGCAGTTATAGCGAAGAAGTCCAGAGAAGGATTGAAAGCTGTCAAAATTCCTCTGACGTCCGTTGAAGCCATTACCCAAACAGTCGAAGCTCGCAAGTCTCAAGGAGAACGAAAGAGGGTTCCCGTTCGCAGTAAGAGAGAGAGGGAAACAAAAGAAGCTAGCTGTGGGTCGGGTCGGTTCTATTTTAAACTGTTTTTCATCTACATTTTTTAACAAAAAAAAGGGTCCATCAACACTGGGCTCAATTTTATACCGTTCATTCAATATGGACTTTATAAAGTTCAATCCAACTCAAATTAGGGAATTTCTTCCCATGCACCCCTACACTTTTTAAATTCCAATTATACCTCTATTGAAATTTTAGTTCCTATTTCAAATTACATAATTCTGAATTCAAAAATATTAGTTTTACATATTTTGAATTGTAAAATCTCTTATACAATTTACTTTCCAAATTATACAATCTGTAATACAAATTTTATAAAGGTAATTTGTAAATCAAATTTTATTCCAAATATATATAATCCTTATTTTAAATTTACATTCTGATATACCATCTAATGTAAATTTAGAAGACAATCTTCTGATATATATAATTCAACTAATTAACTTTAATATATTAAAAAATATAATAAAATTGAATTCCAATCAGAATTTGAGTTATGCATTTGTTATGATGATGATATTTAATAAAATTATTGTGTGGATCATTGAAATAAAATTCTAATACGATTGGATAACAATACAATCATTAGATATACAAATATATATTATATATAAATTTTGTGTATAACGAAAACTGAATAAGAAAAATATGGTGTTTTACTTAGGCTAAAGGATATCAAAGTAATAGTTTTTTCTTGCAAATATCTTAATTTTTGTTTTAATTCATGTAACTTATTTTTGTTTCTAATCTTGGTAAATATGTTATTCTTATTTCTAGTTTCTGATTCCATCATGACGAATAACATCTCTTTTAACAAAGATTACCATAAACTATTTTTTTTTTCCATTATAAATACAAAACCTGCTACATAAACCAAAAAATGAAAAAAATAAACATAATAGGAGGAAAAACGAAAACCATATTCAACCTTTTTCTTCAATCGATAATAATAAGTGACCTGAAATTTATTATTGCTAAAATTATTATTAATTACCTTATTTTCCGATAATCATATACTGTACTAATAAAATTTACATGGATAAATAATATAGTTTTAGGTAAGTTAAAATAGTCGAATGATTTTCATATTTTAGAAAATCCTAGATTTCTATATTTTAATTGGTTTCAATTCTATTTTTGAAAATATATTTTTAAAACTATGATATAATTTGGTTATTTCTATTAATATTATATTATATTAATTAAGGTGTCAAGTGTGTGCCTTTTCTTAATTATTTTTTAAATTAAAATGTTTAATAAAGTGTCACGTGGAAAAGAAAATGTGATGCAAAAGATTTTAATTTAATCTATATATTTCTTATTTTGATTCAATTTAATTATATTTTTTTAAAATGAAGTATTTATCAAGATATGAAATTTAAGTTTTATATAAATGTTATAATGATATTTTATTAAATTTAATTTAATATTTTTATTAAGCATTTTTTTAAAAATAATTTATTTAAATTTTATTTCATATTGAAATTTATTTGAATTTTGTTTTTAAATTTTAAATATATTTGTGTTGATACAATATTGCACCATCTATTTTTAATTTGAATTAATATAAATATAAACAAACTTAAAATAAAGAATATAAATGTTCTTTTATTATCTGTCATGTAAATGAATTTTGAAATTGTATAAGTTTATAAAATTTATATTTCAAATGTCTGTATAGATTTATAAATTTAAATACAATTATTTGAAATATAAATTAAAAGAAATATTAAAGTATGATATAATAAAAATATCAATATAAATACATTTAAAGTTTTTAAACAAAAATTAAATAAAGTTTAAGATAAAATATAAATTTAAATTAATCTAATTTTGTTAAATATATATATATATATATATATATATATATATATATAACCTAAATTTTAATTGAGTACATTTATATAAAAATTAAATTTGATTTAGAAAACTTAATCCATTAAAGAAAATTAAGATTAATGTAATCAAAACAATAAATACAAAGATTAAATTTAAATTTTTCACTTAACGTTAACACATCATACTTCTTTTGTCACTCACGTGAAATGACACTGTTTGATAAATAAAAATTTTAAAAAATAAAAAATTTAATAAAAAAAACAAACACAATCTGACACATCACATGTTAATATTAATTAACGTGTAGGTACCGTATTAATAGAAAATATCAAATTATATCATATTTTCAAAAAATTAACCCAATGGAGACTTTTAACTACAAACTCAGAATGGGAACTACTTAAAATTTTAAAAAAATGAGGGTCAACAAAATATTTTAATAGTTTAGATACAAATATTTTGAATTACTTAAAAAAAATTATACGTCCATAGAAATTTCCTTATTTGAGACTGACGGAAATCCATCAGATGTTCTAGAGTGAAACCACATTATCTCAGAGGACATGCACCAGTAAAGATATCATCAAATTGAGTCCTCTTGTGGGTACTACCAAAATTTCATTACACATGAATGAAGAAATGAAGCTGTACAATAAATATTGTGCTGCTTGCAGCATGGAAGAATGGAAATCTTAGGATGGAAAAATGAATGATCCCAATATCTGTCTTATTTGAAAGAATGTGGCTTTCTCTGACATATCAATGGCTAATCACTTTTTCAAGGCCTTCAGGCAGGGAATGGAAGAATATGAAACTTTTTGTCGACAGAGGATTATTGTCACATCACATGTCCGAAATTTTTCCCTTGACACTCAAAAGGGAGAGACAATCCGAAAGGGTCTCGAGATCAGGACAGGGTTTGGGAAGAACAGAATCTGAAAATCCAAAGATATTTGAACATTCCCAAGGAATGGAAGAAACAGCATTTATAGACAAATTTATGTTGGAAAGGCATATGTTTGTGAAGGGAGATTCTTGTAGACCGGCAAAGCTTCCAGCAACAGTGATGTTTGTGCCAATCATATCTTGGAAAATAATGTGGTCCAAAAGTGGAAGAGCATCTGGATCAAATTTGTCATCAGGATGAGATCCACAATAACCTGTGGCGGCCATTGCAGTGTATATATTCTCCATTTCTACCTCTGATATGACTATTTCCTTGATATAACCACCTCTACCCCTCATAGTTCTGAATTCAATGCCACTCCTTGAATTGTAAAGATAAACATTCTCCACAAGAATATTTGAAATGCCACCAGACATGTCACTGCCAAATGCAATAGTAGAGCCAGAAGAAGCTTGCAAATGCACCCTTCTGATGTGTACATTCTCAGTTGGCCTGCCATAGGCAATGCCATATTCGTCCCACCCACTTTTCAGGGCAATTGCATCATAGCCCGTTTCAATGACACAATCCTCTATACAAACATGATCAGAAGAATCTGAAAACATGAAAGTGCATGAGAATTAGTTAAGTGACTATCGGTAACGTTTATAATAAGATATTGAAATTTGAGAGACAATAAGAAAGTTGACTAAATGTAAAATCCATAACATGTGACACACCTGGTACTATGCCAATGGTGTAAGGGGATTCTGGAGGAGCAGAAATTGAAACATTGTAAATATGTACATTGCTGTTGGCAATACAAGACCAAATCAATATCAGTTGTGCTTTGAAAATAGGTATTACTTACAGTGATGTTTAGAAGAAGCATATAACATACCTGCAATAAACTGGGTGGATGCTATATGCAGGGGCATTCAAGAATGTAAGATTTGAAACTACCACATGATCAGATGCCACTAATTCAATAATATGGGGACGGCTGTAGTTCAGGGAATGAGAGCTAAACAATTCCCACCATGCCAAACCCATGCCATCAATTATTCCACTATTACCTAGTAAAACCCACAAAGATATAATTTAGGGAAAAGATGGAAAATTTAAGAAAACATGTTGCTAAGAGGAAAAAGAAAAGATGTTGGGAGTGGAAAAACCTGTTATCACCACATCATCTAACATGTATCCATTTATTAAACTCTGATATCTTCCCCCGGGAACTTCAACTCCTCGACCGTAAGAAGGTAATGGATCAACAACTTCCCAGTGAAATGGATCCTGCCAAATCATCAATAGCATTGGAAAAGAAAAACAAAAATAAGGAAAACCACTTATCACAAAGAGGAAACCCAGACAGAAATATGTCACATGTGCTATCCTCAGTAAAAAGGACAATGATCAAAAGTCGGTAAAAGAAAAAGAAAAAGGTGAAATACCTGAGATCCAAGAATGACAGCACCTTTTTCCAAGAACAGTGTCAGATGACTCGTAAGATTGAAACTTTTAGTCAACCATGTTCCTGGTGGCACATATAACTGAGCACCACCCTTGTCAGCAAATGACTTGAGATAGAAGATGGCATTCTGGAATGCAATAGTGTTCAACGTTTTACCATCCCCAACCGCTCCAAACTCCAGGATGGACACAGTGTGCGGTCTTGGCTTTGGTGCTGGATTATGCTCACACAGCCCATTGACTCTGACTTCATTGCTCAGCGACAGCAGCAAGAGTAATGCTACCTGAACAAGGAATTGGGGAAGGAAGATTAAAACATCAATTCTCAAGATGTCCGACAAATACGATAATAATTCACAGATTCTTAGGATTATGTCCGAGATTGATTCAAGACAAATACAGATACAGAATCTACTTATATGAATAAATAATTCACTTCCCTTTACCATTAAGCATTTCCTATAGGAATGCGCAACTACCTTAGTTAAAAGAAAGTCTGAAAATGGAGAAATTGATAGCAAAGAGAATAATCAAAGAAAAAGACTGTTCTCCTCAGTCAAAATGAATGTAAAGGTACGCCTGAATGAATTGAAAACAATTGAGAGAGACTTAGAACAGAACAATAAGTGTTTTAAATTGCATTATTTGAGGGTTGAAATATAAAATGCTCAAGTTTTACAGATCATATAGATAATGATTGAAGTCTGGCATCCACTGCAACTACCATTTCCTCTGAAAGGAGCAAGACCAAACCCAAATGAAATCAAACACGTCGCCCAATGGGGTAGACATATACACTCACTGATTCAAGCATCTAATACGCAGAAAGGTTAAAAATTGAAAAGAGATTTGCTGCACAATTATAAACCCAAGAGCAATATAAGACAACAGAACAAAATCAAGCAGAGAAACATACGTACTAGCATGTTCTTGGGTCAAAACTTGTGACAGAGGCACAAGGGACACAATCACCAAGAAAGAACCAAATAAAAAAGAATTGCAGGGGCAGAGAAAGAATATTGAAGGAGAGGAGCAAGAAGCAAGGAGAAGAGGAGGACAGAGACAGCTTTATGCAAGATACTGAATATTATAAGCATTAATCATGTACATGACAGGAAAGGAGAGAGTTAATGGTCTTTTCTTACATGACATGTATGCACACTTTTATATATATGTTTTTCATATAAACTTAGATCATATCATCCTACATTGGTAATTCATATTAAAATTAATTAATATTTATTTAGTGTAGATATTAAGAGAAATCAGAAGGGAAAAGAGACAAGTAATTGATATAAATAATGATGAAATGTTAAAAGGTAAAAAAATATACTAATGGAGTGTTTTTACTTATTAAATGCTCAAAATTATGACTCTAATAATTATGAAACTACATAAAAGGTATTTTTTTATTTATATAGAATTATTATTTATTTTGTACCATAAATAAAATATATATTATTAAAGGTAACTTTATTGGAAATATAATAAAATGCTAAATCTGAAAATATTTTACTAAAAATTCAAATCTCGATTCATTGTTTTACAATGGCTGAATTGCTTATTTGAAAAATATTCAAAATAAACTTCTTTATTAAAAATATTTTATATAATATTTTATATATATATATATATATATATATATATATATATATATATTTGATATACACACACTTGTGTGTAATATTAGATTTTTCAATTAATTTTATCTTAATTTAAAGTTTATCAATAAATTATTTTTTAATCGTAAATTGTCATTTATAGTAAAATAAATAATTTTATATCATTTCCTTAAAGAAATCATATAATTTTTAAATGGTTGAAAAAGAATGTATAAATTTGTTTTAAAAAGTTTATGAATAATAAAATTTAATTTGATTTATATTTAAAAAAAAAGATTACTATGAAATATTTTTATATTAAAATATAAATAAAATCAAATGTTATTTTGTTTTAAAAATAGATATTTATATACAATAAATTTAATACGAGGCTTAGATTCTTTCAATATAGAAAAATGAAATTAAAAAGAAACTTCTATTAAAACGACGAACAAAGTTTACCGGAAGATTAGTCAATAATCAACATTCCGCACCAATAATGTTATTAAAAAAATCATTAACTCAATTTATTAAAAATATTATAAAGTTATTTTAATTTTATGACTAAATAGTTTATGCAAAATATATTTGCATTTATAAATTCAGAATTATAGGTGTAGTAAAAATAAAAGGTTTAAATTAAATATACTAATAACATGTATAGTTAATTATGTTTGATAAATTAGTTCACTATGCAATAACTATTTTGAAATTTATGTAGCTTTGAATAAGCAAGTATAATTTCAGCATGTTTATTTTAAAATCGAAAATATATGTGTGTGAAAATTAAGGAGTATTGTTTACGTGGCTCATTTAATGTAAATTAGTCTTCGACCAACTATGCTCTTAGGTTTCTTAGGCTGTGGGAGATGGCACACGTGGCAGAAAGTGTACAGTGCAGAGATAGAACACGTAAGAAGTAGTAGGAGGGAGTTTGTGAAACGGTGGGTGAGGGAACAAGGAATGGAATAATAATGAGGAAATGCATGTGGAATTGACAGAACACAAAGGAGACTGGACCCCACTCCAATCATCAATCATGCTCAACATGCTAGCCTGGCGTGCCGTCAATTTATATATCACTCTTCTTATCATATAATAACTTTCTTTTTATACATACCTATTCATTTTTTCTCATTAATTCAAACTTTGCAACTCTTATACATTCAAATTAAATTCATACGTAGATATAATTTTTCATTTAATATATTTAAAATAAAAAATTCTTACTAACTTTTAACTATAAAAGTCATTTTTCTCCTCTAATACCCATTTTTCCTAACCAAAAATTGAAATAATTTATACTTGTTAATCTCATTTACTAAATTTCCAAAAAGAAAATAATTGTATATCTTTTTACACTAATCATAATCCGTGTTTCTCCTATATCTATATCTTAGTTTATCAAGCAATTTTGTTTTAATCAGATAAATAATTTATTTATTAATTAATGTTTAATAATGTAACAGTATGTCATCCGTGTAATCACGCAATTTTTACATTAAATATTAAATTAACAGATAAACTAATATTACACAATTAAAACAGTGGAAGGATCAAAATTTTTCAAAAATTAGATGGTGTAAATTCATAAAATTGATATATATATATATACATATATATATATATATATATATATATATATATATATATATATATATATATATATATATATATATATATATATATATATATATATATATATATATATATATATATATATATAACTAAAGTTTTACTTTATTTTTTTTAATATTTCATTTAGATGTAATAAAGCATCAAAGGAAATTTTATAATAACAATCTGTTTATGTGCAAAAGAATATCATAACCATATATTATGTTTGTTTTTTTTACTCGTACAGATGTGAAAGAATTCAGAACAAATACGCTACCTTTTATTTAAGTAAAAGAATATAAATAAAACATATTTGTATCCCAAGACTTTTATTTTTTAGTAAAATATATCCTTACTACTTACTATTTATACTGACATGACAACGTATTACATTTAATTAAATATTTATATTGTTTCCCAGTTAATATTTTATTATGATTTTATTTTAAAAATAATACTTATTACCCATCACTATATTTAAAATATTATTTGTTTTAAAGCTTAAAATTATATCACGATTTTATTGTTAAAAAATATTTTGTAGAACTAAAAAAGAAAAAAAAATATTATATATAAATTATTTTTAATCTCAAATTTTAAGTAATATATCGTGTTATTCTTACAACTATTTTAAAAATTTCAATATATTACTGTACTTATACTTATATTCATTTTTAACCAATATTAAAATTTCTTTTCATCCATACATTCCTAAAAAGAATGAATTTAATTATCACCCTATTAAATATTGAAGCGACTTATCAGATGTATATTGTCAAATATCTCTTAAATCAGATCATAATATAGTTCTCTTTATAGAATAAGTGGCATTGAGAGCCCCCACCCCAATAATAACATATGACAAGTGTAAATTAAAAATATCATTAAAAGTTAGCATTTTCAACAAGCGTTAATTTGTTTATTATTCATAATTTAATTGTTTTTTATTTCAGATATTTTACAAATTGTTTATTATATGTTTTTACTTCTGTATATTTAACCGCCTAGAAGTTTTCAAAAATCATTACAGTGAAAAAATAAACCCACTTCTGTTATTCAAAACTGACAAGCAAATGCAAGACACGTTGCTTTTAAGGTTTAATAAGTAATTTTATTTTTATATTTAAAATTTTGAATTTTGAATTTTATTTTTATTTTATATTTAATTTTTATTTAATTGAATTTTTGTAAAAAAATTAATATAATTTATTTTTTATGTTAAATTGATTTTAATATGTTTAAAATTATCAGTGTAAAAATTTATATTTATTACATGTTAAAATTTAAATTATTTTATATTTAAAACTGTGCTTATTTTAAAATATGACATTAAATATAAGTGATTCAAAATTTTCGACATAATATACTGAGATTTTAACATGAACACTTTCCACATAATTAATATAAATTTAACACAATAAACCATATTAATTTTTTTTACAAATATCAAAACTATATTTATCTTTTAAATGAAAACTCAATTACTTTAATATATATATAAAGACCAAATCAATTCAAAATCTAAATATAAAAAATAAATTATTTTTAATTATATTTTGCAAATAAACGTGTACATATACATATATTACATTAGTACAAATTTTCATATGTTATGGTTAGAAATTACGAAAACTTGAACAAGTGAAAAGATTGTTTAGTTTCAAAACAATTTATTTCATAAAATAAAATAAAAAAGGCAACCAAGGTTAAATTTAGAAAATCAAAATCTATAACTTCAAATAAAGAAATAATAAATTTTTGTTATCGCTGGGATCTCAAATTTTCATGAATAGGGTTGATATAAAAAACATGATTGAAAATCCCTTATAAATGTCCTTGAAATTTTATTTTCTTTGATATTTTCCTACAAATAAGTTACTTGGAATGTCATTATACATCAGTATTTTCATATAAATTTACTTAAATCTTAGTTTTATATTTTTTTTAAGTGACGCGATTTTTGATAAAAAAAAATACATATACCTATATCTATATTTTTATATAATGAGAATTTTTCTTTTTAGTGTTCATATTTATTTTTTAAATGATTTTTTTAAATTAACATAATTATTTCATGAATTTCATTTTTAAGTGATTTTTTTTAATTTAACGGTTTTTCCAATTTGATTATTTTTTAAATTTAACTATTTTTTAATTATAAAACTACCTGTAAAAAGCTAAAAACTGTTTACAACAAAATTATAAAAATTATTTTAATTTTATAATTACAATAATAACAACAACAATAATTATTATCTATTATTTTTTATTATTATAAAAAATACCAACCCATATTGATAATGTGTTTTCACTAGTCTTCTATATTCATATATAAAAAAGTTATTCTTTTTTCCCTTCACATTTATTTTTAATTTTACCTTTTAAATATTTCTTTTAGTTAAGATAGTTATTTTAATTATATATATACATACATATATATATATATATATATATATATTAAAGTAATTTTTTGTGTGTTTACATTTGTTTTTTAATTTTACCCTTTAAATATTTTTAAATCAAGATAATTATTTTATCAATATTACCTTTTATTAAATGACTGGTAATTTAAATTCAAGAGTTTTTTTTTTATTTGATAGTTTTTTTTATACTTCACAATTTTTTTAATTGAAAAATTACCTACAAAATAAATAAAAATTACCCACAACAAAATTATAAGAATTATTTATACTTAAATTTATAATTATAATAACAATAGTAATAATTTTATTATTGTTTATCATATCTATACTTATATATATATAACTATATATATATATATATATATATATGTATATATATATATATATATATATATATTTATATATATAAAGAACATTTATCTTTTTGTTGTCCACATCTAATTTATAATTATTAATTAAGAATAGAAGAATTTAGTTGGATCACTGAAAAGGCACTAT